CCCGTTTTGGGGCTGAAAGCATTACCTTCGGCCTAGCTGCGCCTTTGGGCTTAGCTTCCTCCGCAATGTTTCGCGGCTGTACCGTCCTGCAGGGAGAATTTTAACCATGTTTACAGGAATTGGGCCATTACTTTACCTTCTTTTGGAGTATCATATGTTCCCCTAAATCCTATATAAAGTATATACAGATACCTAGACCCCAATGGTATAGGCACAATATTGGCATTTTGGGTTTTTCTTAATCCAAGGTTATGGGCTCTCATTTCACCGATTTTGGGGTTATATAATGTAATTAATGGCCTTTTGGGTGCGTTTGGGTGCGTTTAAGGTTCAAAGGGTTTGGGGCTATTACCCTACATACCTCGGGGGTTTAAGCAAGGATCAATGAGTAAATGCAGTATATAGGGCCCTATAGATAACCCCACCCCTAAACTATGTTGAGTCATTGGGGGCAATTTTTTGGGCTAAGTTGGGTAAAGGTCCTGGCTCGTGACTCCATCATCAGGGCCTCCGCAGCCCTGGCAGGCATCTTCATGGAAGGTTTTGGGGTTGTTTCAGGGAAGCCAGTTCGCGCTGCTTGCAGTCAAGGATCTCTATCTTGACATCACGAATGATAATCTTGAGCTTCTCCTCAATCCTGAATTTGGGATTGATTGAGGATGGTTTAAGTCCTATTTCGAGCATTCGAAACAGCCCTTATAGCCCCATAATCTCAAGTAACAGCTCAAGTATTGCCCTTGAAACATGGCATTCATGGAGATAAGTTAAGCTTCTGCATGCAGGGGAATATGTTGCAGCCGGAAAACTCTCTGGTGAATCCATCCACGATGCCGGAAGATTGAAGCTTGTGTAGCTCATCGTTCAACGACTCCATGGTACGCAGTGACTTTCTCATTTTGTCACGCATCCTCAGCCATTTGTGCTGAGACATGGCACTTAAAGCATCTAATGGGTGCTCACTACACAAGATCATGAGGTGAGGCTCCGCTTTTGAATCTCGTCAAGAATGTTCTTCTGCTCGGCTTTGGTATACGGCTCTTGAACAGCTGCAAGCTTCTGGATTCGTTTCCCTAAGCATGCCGAGATCTTTCCGCAATAGGAACTTGGGAGCGCATCTGGGTCAATCTCCGGCACGCCAGCACGCTTGCGCTGGTCGGAAGCCTGCTTAGAGTCTGTCTTGGCTTCCTCCGCACTGACGTCCACTGGTTGGCCTCAATAGGGCAAATGTATAAACTTGAACCAAAAGCAAGGGCTCAGGAGGGCTTCTTGTATGAGGGTTTGGGCAGGATTACAGGGTTTTTGGGATCAGGGCTCGAAACCTCATAACTCTCAGTCTCATCCCTATACTTGCGTGTGGCAACATGACTCAGGGGGTCCCTCCTTGTGTCATCTCTTCCACTCAAACCCTGACCCTAAAATTGAACCACGCGGCTTGGCTCCTGCGAGGCCAAGGGCATGTTTCCATCCTTCTCCGAGCCAGCCACACCCTGAGCAGCCAAGGAAGACGACTGCCGGCGAATAGTCCGGTCAAGCTTCCTCAGCTACAAGGTTGGATTTTCAATTTATCTGTGCTTCAGGTTCGAGCTTCAGATTGGTGAAAGGGTCATGTACTGCCAAAGCACTTATGGGTCGCGGATATCGTCTTCTCGCACCAATACAAGATGATGCTGGGCTCGTAGGTGTCTCGCCTGCCAGGCTTGAAGCTACAGCGTACCACGTCAAACACGCATGAGCAAACCCTAAACGTCAAACCCTCAATCCTTACTAAACCGAAGCCCTGTTATAAGCCATACCTACACCCCAAAACTATGTAAAATAATCGCCCGAAACCATTATTTTACATACTTTTGGGGTCCAGGTATTTAAACCATAAACCATTGTAATGCTCTGCCTGAGGAATTTCGCAGGGCATTCCAGACAGTACTTCTTGACAGCCTCGCGGCGTTTCCTGAAATGAAGACAGGGCACGTAACTCTGTGACACAAGACAGCCAGAACATCATCATAACTCAGATAGTCAGAAGTCAAGCATCTCTGACCATCCCCATTCTTGCATTGTGGCATCGGAGGCATACTCCCCCGAAATGACGAGCTCATCTTCTTGAAGCGATTCATGAATCTCTGTCAAGTGAACCACGAACTCCTCCTTTCGAGGTCTGACTTTATGAGCAACACCCTAATGTACCAAACAGACACTATATACAAGGACAGCAGCACGCAGGGGTGTCCACGTTGTACCCACACGAGGCCAATATTTTCTCGAGGTTCTTGCGAGCCGCGCCCTTGCGTCGCCATTCGTCTACGAAGCGTTGCGGTACCTTGAAACTACCATCCACCCTGGGGGTGAAGACCCTCCGGGCACGGCGATCTGTCGCGGCTGCGGTTAAGCTGGGCTGATCACGGGGCGGTGTTGGGGCGCTAAGATCGCCCAGGCTTGGGATATCATCCGTGAGCGAGGTCTCAGCATCTGATCGCGAATCTTCCCCAGTTTGGGCAGGCTTCGGGGGTTCTGGGCAAGGCTCTTTGGGCTCAACTGCTCCTGGCAAAGGGGGTTCTGGGCAACGCTCTTTGGGCTCAACTGGTCCCGGCAAAGGGGGTTCTGGGCAATGCTGCCTAGGCATGGCTGCTTCGCGCTTTGGGACAGCTGGGCAGGGCTCCAAACTCTCTGCTTTGGGGCTGGAGGGAGCAGGCAGGACACTTTCCTGACTCATGTTTGGAGGGCTGAGCATCCTGAGACCATGTCTGGGATGCCTGGGATTCTGCTAGAGGTGCCACAATCTCTGTGGGCGCTAGGGAGGGTGTCCGGCATACCTTAGCAAAGGTGTTCGGGTTCAGGGTCTTGAAGAAAGTTGTCATTCTGAACCCCTTTGGCATTGGCCCAAAACCCACGAAAAAGGCCCATGCAATAGGTATTACATTAAAAACCTCAAGGACTCAAATGTAAAAGGGATGCGTGTAATTGGCATACGGGCCGAGGACGGGTGAAGGTATCATGCAAGTGAGAAACGAGGTGGGTTGTTCCAGAGGCAACTTCTGCAGCAGCTGAAGGTCCAGGTCGCCCAACACCTTTTCCCCTGGCCGCCTTGCGTAGACGGATCTGAACCAACTTCTCCTCTGCTTCCTGTTAGGGGTGCAGAAAATTGAGGGCCCATATCCTGAAAAGTACATGTAACCATAGAAGAAACATAACAGCTTGCCTTGATCTTGGCTGCGGTAGCAGGATCCAAACTCCCTTCTGCCACAGCTTTTGAGGCTGCTGCAACCATACGCGCAGGGCTGGTGCTCTGCACACAGGCCAGCCCTTTTTCTAAGGTTGAGGTAGACCACTGTCTACTCTCCACAGCTTGCATGATCCCAGAATGCTACATACACAAAGGGAATCAAATGTGCCACGCAAGCGTGATTCAGGGTTTTGGGCTTGCTGGGGCCTTCACTTCAGGGTTTTGGGCTTGCAAGTTTTACCTAAATTATGACTTCCGGGCAATTCCGCCGTTTTCCGCCCTTTTCCGCCGCAATTCCGCTTATTTCCGCCGCAAACTTCAGGCTTTTTTTCTGGGGCTTCAGGCTTTTGCGTGTTTTGGGAGTGCAAAGTCAGGCTTTTCAGGCCTCCAGAGGGTATAATTCAGGCTTTTCGGGGTTGCCTCAGGGTTCAGGGTGTTGACCTCAGGCTTTCCCAAACCAATTCAGGGATTGAGCCTCCTGCGCGGTTTGCACCTTTGGGGCTCAGGATTGTTGAAGCATGCACCCTGTAAGAGAGAAGCGCATTTTGACTTGCGGTTCAATCAAGCACAACCGCTTCCTGCAATCCCAATTAAAAGCCTAAATTGGCATTCGAATTTCCTACCGTGTCACAGAAGTGGCGGAATTGTACCCCGCCATTCTGCAGGAATCTGGAGGCTGCTGCCGCCTCGGAGATATCGGACGACATCCTCGAGGCCTGTTTCTGGGAACTCATCCCAATCAAGCTGAGCACATAGCTTCTGGAGCGGAGTATCCTTGTCCTAGGCGGATAGGCGTGGGGAACTGTTCGTTTAAGTTTAGCAGCACATTTACACCTTGCAATAACAAGCCAAGAAGACTAAAACTTCCAGGGGTGGCAATTTCTTCGTAGGCTTCCGGATTACAGTTTCGGGCTTGGGGCTGTCAAACAGAACCAAGAAGCAACAGATGTGAACTCAACCTCCTGCGCCTGCAAGAATGGCACCATAGAGATAATCGCATTCGCGAAGGCATCTGTGTACTGCCTGGGATGAAAAAACATTGGGGCTGTATACAGGTTTGGGACAGAACTGGGGCGAGCAAAAGCAACATTGCGAAGCCCATGTGCTGACATGCTGCTGCGTTCGTTTCAAGAATTTCGTGCCGCAGTATCACTTCTTGCCCCCACTTACATAAACTTTTGCTGTAGGGTACAAACACTTGCGAAGATCCTTCCGAACCTTGCCTTTGTCCAGAGTTCCAACTAGCGATCGATTGCTGACCATCACGGTCCTCTTCATCGTATCCGAACCATAGTTCTTCATCCAGAAGGCGCATTTGTATGTCTGGGCTGCAAAGCCCACAAACAGGAACACTTGACATGCAAAAGCCCCACAATGTAGTCAAGAAGCGCGGATACCCAGCTTCTTCAACGCCCGAACAAATTTCTTGAAGTACTTGGTATCAAACATGATACTCGTTGCAGGATTTTCCAAGAAAACTGCTCCACCACAGGCCACCAGTAAAGCCATGAGCTGAAGTGTCCTAGCCAAACATAACTACAAGATCAGTCAATCAACCATAGCTCACTCTAGGCAAACTAAGCAGAATTGAGGTGTCCCTCGGCCGCCAAGGTGAGTATATTGCATATACATCTAAACCCCCAAAGTGGTAAAATAATGGCCCAAATCCCCTAAATATAGCCCGGAAGGCAATTATTCTACATACTTTGGGGGTCCTACCCCTTGCAGCCGGCCAAAAGAGGATTATTCTACAAACCTTCGGGGTTTAGGTCAAAATCTTTCACATAGAAACAGTCCTGGAAAGGAGTTTGTTTGATCGGGCAACGCTTGGTAGATTTACCCGTCCCTCCGGAGTGAGCATATCCCTTCCAGATGTGCCAGAGTTGATTTGCACGAAGGATGAACAGCAGGTGGCAAAGATGCCGACAAGCTGGCTCCAGGCACCCTGCAAGATCAGCACCACAGCCAGCCTTGTGCAAAATCCCAGGGTTTAGGGTTTAAGCGTTTAGGGTAGATAGCTGACACCAATTCTTCTATAGGTATCTTGAGGGGGACCCTTTTCTACATCGTAAAGGCTTCAACTTTCCCCCCTGAACCAGTGTATCACCCTTGCCCACCCCGAACCTACATTCCTATGGGGGACTATATACCTCATCAGACCCTCCAACCCCCCTAAACCACCCCAAGTTTGCCCAGAATACTGACCCACAAAAATTGCCTCCCAAACCCCTTTCCAGACCCCCAAAACGCCAGAAGAACCCTCCAGCGCCCCCTCAAACCACCCAAAGTTTGTGGGTCAAAAATGGCCACCATTTTTGACCCACAAAAATTGCCTCTGTAAGGCCTCCCAAACCCCTTTCCAGACCCCCAAAACGCCAGACGACCCCTCCAGCACCCCCTCAAACCACCCCAAGTTTGTGGGTCAAAAATGGCCGCCATTTTTGACCCACAAAAATGCCTCTCTAAGGCCTCCCAAACCCCTTTCCAGACCCCCAAAACCTTCAAGTTTGTGGGTCAACAGTGGCTGCCAATATTGAAAGGAGCCACAACTAGGTAGAGCGCTTCAAGCTTATGAGCGTCTCCGGGGTGTTTGCCATTCTTGGGTTACTAAGTTTATGAATGGTGTGTTTTGGGGGGGCAAGAACTCAAGTAGGGAAGCTTTATGAATTTTGAATTTGGGCATTATACCAGGTGAGGCGCGCAAAGCCAGAGTCTGAGTTGAGGTCGAAAGGACTGCGTTTGTCTAGCCGTAGCCGCCGCTGGGGATCCCTCATAGAATCAAAGTCCAGGTCCAAGGCTGCACATCTATACCCTGAAACAACACCATTGCGTGCAATAGCTGCATGCCCTGCAAAAAACTCGATGAGATCAAGAGGGCGCTTTGGATGGATATCTACGTACCCTGTCCAAACAACCATCAGCACGATGAGAATCATCTCCTGCAAGCATTTTTTGTGTATCGCAGCTATAGAAAAACTGCAAGCTTGTTTGTAGGCTTGCCCAAGTCTACTCCAGCCTTGGATACCTTCATTGCAGCCAGCCGCCGCAAAACAAGTTCCAGCTGGGCTTGGCTCGTCGTGGGTGCACGGAAGGCTTTCCAACACACAGCCGATCACAAAACGCCAAAGCTAATTGTAGGACCTTCATATGTATTAAATGAGAGCTTTTTACGCCTTTTCTAAGGGCTCGGAACCATTGTACGAAGCTATTACAGGATTGGAGGCTCAGGGCTGGGCCATGAAGTTTCAAGATTATGTGAGGCTGTAATCAGGAATGCATTGGTCATTGCATCCCCCCTTTACAGCGCAAAAGCCAAGCAGATGCAGCCAATCTGAGTCAGGATGACCCGTAATTGCCCCACGTCTGGCCAGGTAGGCCTGTCCACGCTTTACTCGTCCCATCCAGGAGGAGATCCACCTGGGCAGAGCAAACAGCAGATAAGATTCTAGTCTGCGTATGGCCAACTTGCAAAGCAGCTCCAAAAAGATGCATGAGCGAATCTTTCAACCCCGCATCGAAGCTAGACTCATCGATCAGAAACCCCGAGAAACACACCCGCAACTCAGCTGTAGCTGTGGGTAGGTTCAAAGAATTTGGGACCTCTTGATCCCAATTTGGTCTGCGTGTTCGCACACAGACATGCAAAGATCCATTGCACAATTGAGAAGTAGCCTAGACAGCAGGCAGGTTCCTTAGGAACTTCATAGCCACCTTGCAGCACAAATCATAGTGCAGGAGCTCGCAGCTCTTCAGCTGCGCGTCCTTCTGCTTGAAGGCTTCTTGGCACATTTTCCAGAATGGCTCCTTTCAGGAAGAAATGCAGGTCTAAGAAGCTTTAACTCTTCCAGCTGCATGGCAACACGGTTCAGCGCGCGCGCACACAGATTTAGACACGAGCCTGGTACTTGGATGGCGACACCACATAAAGGCTTATCTTGTCCTGAAAAGCCAGCTTGATGGCGGACCACCTGGTATAGGCACTCGCTCTTGTGGGGACAGGGCGGCGGGCGAAAGACACCTCCTTGACATCCTCCATTTCCTGGTCATTGGCAACCTCAGCTCCATCCTGCTTCTTCTGGCGCTTGGTCTTTGGCTTCTCCGGCGTGACGGCCCCCTTAGCCTTAGCCTTCTTGCGCTTGGCTACAACTGCTGGCTCCTCAACGCTGTAGCTGTCTCCCCAACCCTCGGCCTGCCACCACTCATCCACCTCCGCCTCAGTCCATCCACGAAAGATGTACCACTCCTTCATCTCTTCCTCCGTCATCTCAACCCAATGGTTTTCCTCCTCCGCGGCATGGCTGACGGCTGGAGTTTTGCTTCTCAAACGCAATTTGGACTTTGCCACACATCCCCGGCCAGCTCGACCACTTCCTCGGCCTCTCCCGTGGCCGCGGCCCTTCTTTTCCTTCAAAAGCTCTGCGTCCTCCCCCTCCGGCTCATTGCACTTTGCCAGCTCAGTTTGCCCAACACGGCTTCCAATGCCCTGCCAGAGGACACATGTCCTATAGAAACCCAACACACACACACACAGACACAAGCGTGAACATATCAGCCAGCCTGGAACGAAGCAACATCAAAGTCCTCATCGCAAGGGGCCTGAGCAGCCTCAACACTCTGGGAAGAGGTTGGCGGGGCCTTACTGGTGCCACACGCTGTGGGAGATGCAATCTTGGGCTCGGAAAGCTTGGGCTCAGGTGGGGTCATCGCCAAGTTGGACTTAGCATCACCTCGAATCAGGATGGGCTTCTGGGGAGGGGTGACTTGTTGATCTAAGTCCTTGAGAAGGCTTCTACAGGGCATTGGGGACGGGGTCTGGACCGGTGAAAGCAGCTGCGTCTCCTGGTTGTCCGGGCAGAAGCTGCGGTCATGAGCACACGCACAAGAAAAACTCTGACCATCAAAAGGCAAGAAACTTCAGGAGCGCAATCTGTTCCAATAGTTTCAACTCCTCCTGATCCAAATCCTCATCGTCCACAGGCTCGTTCGCGGACAATGTCTCCTGCGTGACCTGCGTGGGCATTGCATGGTTGTTAGCCGCGTCCTGTTTCACCTCAGGCGTGGTCACAGGAGAAGAAAGCATATACTCATCTGTCACAGCCCTCACTAAGTTGACGTCACCAAGATCTTCTCCTTCCGCCAGCTCTGCCCCAAGGCATGCTTCCACATCTTTAGCAACATCCTGCTCTACATCTTCTTGTGTTTGACCTTTCGCACCTTTCTGCGGCTTGGTAGGGCCCCACTGGAACAGTAGTGTCTGATACAGACACTCTGTAATGGAATCACGCTTCTTCCTGCTAGCCGACCTTCGCCTCAAGGCCAGGGAGAAAAGCCTTCTAAGCCCCCACGAGTCTACGTAGACCATGACATCATCCGGCTCCAGTCGCATGAGCTGCCTCCATTCGAGAACCTGAGGGGAACAATGGGATTTTGGAATTCTTCTTTAATAGGCTTCTGCAAGTTCTGTTCATGAGCCCGAAAACCTCAGCGCGTAGGAGAGGAACAGGTGGACAGCGAGCTTCCTTCATAAGCGGAGCCCAGCGATTGGCAATGTGCAGAAGGGCGTCTGAATTGAGATCTATGTTCTTCATCGAAGGGATTCCCTTCACCTGTGGCGTAAGCCACTTTGTCAAGCAGCCACTACTTCTCCCACGGCAGCGGAGTACATCATCCTTCTCCCAATCATTTGCCAAAGCGCCCACAGTCCACTCAATGCTAGAAGGCGCCCCTGGACGAAGCCTGGCCCTCCAAATCACCCCGAGGCATTGGGCACAGCAGGGGAGGGACAACAGAGACACAGTCGAGCTAAGCTGATTGCTGAACCGTCCCACCCACGCAGTACAATTCAGCAAGATTTCAATCAGCGCCTGCAGCACTTGTGGAAACAACAGCTTTGAGCTTTATGGGTTTAGGGTTCAGGGCTCAAGGGCTGAAGGTTTTGTTGTTGCCATATAGTGAGCCCTAAGCCCTAAACCCTGGCCCTAGCTTGTAAGCTCCGTACCTTTCACATGGCCAGCCACCACCAGCAGAGAAGCCAAGTACCTGTCACCATTTTCTTGCATTCATGCGACTTAAGTTGCGCGAGCCCTTCCATGCAAAGCATCCGTCTTTTTAAAACGCAGTTGCATATCACCTAGATCCTGCATGCTTCTCAAAATCTAGAAGCCTGCGATCACTCCCTGGCAGAGGCATCCTTCGCTGGCAAACCTGAGATCGCTGCTGAGGGCAAGTCATGATGATGTGGATCGAAACATTATAGGGTCTTGAGGGTTTAGGGCTTAGGGTTTGGCTTCAGGTTAATAAAGGATTAAGTGGCTGCTTCCCGCTGTCATATAGGAAGTGCAGCCATGGAACATTTCTGGAAGTCAGCATCAGTGCTTTGGGCAATCTTGTGTATAATGCCACGCGCTTTGAAGTTTTCCACGGCATCTAGGACGCGATCGTCCCAAGATTTGGTACAGGTCTCCTCCATGGGGCACTTGGGGTCTAGGATACCATTCCTGCAAGAGGGTCTTACGCCATGTAAATGTACGAGCCTACATTGAAGCTGTACTCCAGCCTTGTCGTAGCCCAACGCGTGAAGAGATCGTGTCCAAAACTCTGGACTCATATCATCAAGACCTGTCCGTGAATTCTTTCAATTCATGTACGATGAGATAATGCATGTATACTTCCAACAGCATCCTGGCCTGCATCAACCAGCTTCCCCCAAGTTTCAGGGGTTACCCTCTTGAAAATGTCAGCCATGCTGGTGACAGATCTCGAACCGAATCACTGCTGACGTAGGCACCTATACATATATGTGCCACACAAGAACACAGCACTGCGTGCGCGTCAGGTAGAGAACTGAAAGGGCGCACTGGCCGCACTTCGCTGCGTGGGTAAACATAGCAATGCACTTGCTGCAAGTATGGCTGCGTAATCCTTTCGGTACGTCATGCTACAATTGGGACAACAGTGTCATCATGATGTTCTTCAGAGGATCGCATAGATCTTCTTTATGAGGTCGCTGATTCTGCCCGATTGTGCTTCAAAGGAGCCTCAAAGGCAAAACAGGCGCATGAGGACCAGAATGGCCGCACAACGATCAAAATGGCCATCTCCTTGTCATCAAGAACTTTATAGCTATCTAACCTGTTTTTGGGGCGCATACCAGGAAAAGGCTGTTCTTGACCAGAGCCTGTTTTTTTGCAGGCCTCGGAGCCTACAGGTGCCGATAAACCTCTAGAAGCTCAGATTCTGCAATCCCAACTGGTTTTGCATTCATCTGCGATTGTATTCTTGGCCCTCTCTTCTGTGCTGTACGTACCTGTCCAGCCAGACATCTCTGTTCTTTGTCGCCTTGACCACATGTGCACCAAACCGCACGACTGTCGCACAACCCACAACTTTCCCGATGCAAGCGAGCTTTTTCCGCGAGGCTGTTTGACACCAACGGGCTTCAGGAGGGTACAACATTTGTTTAATTCCATCACCATGGCTAGCTGGCGCTGTGCTGATTGGGCTTGCGACCCCAAAACGCCATAAATAAAGATGCAGAGATTCAAGGGGTACCTGCACAACGCAGACAGCCGGACGTGGCAGAAAACAATTTCCGCGCTTTGTATAACAGCCTTGCGTGATTCTTTTCTGTCCAGCGGACTGATGTTTGGAATCAGGCTTTGACGTAGCAAGGGGGACTCTTTTGTCGGTTTCGACAGGGACCGTACAAAAACCTGTCCGTGATTTGGATTCTTTCCAGTGGCGAGTCGTGTTTGGGGAGTGTTGAGAGAGTATCATGTCAGAAACATATTCACATCATGAATATTATAACAGATTGTCGGCTGTCTATTTTCGTCCGTGAAAACACACGCGAAGGAACTTGTCTGACGAAAACTGATTCCACAATATTCAATGCGCGAAAACCACCAAACCCAATGCCAAATTGCAAAAATCAACACCAACCGTGAAGAGTTGCCCACTTAGATTTGGAGACGATAGGCAATGAGTTCTTGCACGATGTTCGCACCCCCAAGGTAGCTCAGGGCTGCATTCTCAGTATCATCCTCGCGGTGTCCCCACCCCATTACAGCAGGATGCGCGCAACATGTGCGGGGCTTTCGTCCATGCGCTCAACGGCCATGAGTCAGTAACAAGCTGAGTCGCAGGTTTTCCTCTTCTTCAGGTTGGAAGTTACATATGCAAAGTATTGTAGCGTACATGGAACAGGATTGCGCTGTCGTGAGGGAGTGATAATAAAAGGGTATTGGGTTTTCGGAGAATTGTAAATCCCCAAAAACAGAAGAGGTTTCATGCTTTCGTCCATTCCCCAGGGAAAAGGTAGAGGCCTCTTTCCTCAAACCCTAGACTCTGTTGTTATGTTTTTTGGAGTGGGAGCTCCAGGTATATCTCCTGCAGGCGCTGTTAATCTCATCCCAGAAACAAACACCCCTACTTGAGGATTCAAGTTTACGATTGATTGCCCCATCCTGAAGTACTAGTAATATTATTCCAGCAACCCAGGTGCTTATACAGTTGGTTCCTGGATTGTAGGCAATGACAACTAAACTTGTTATTGGGGTTGCCCGCTATGTGGTATACAAGAGGGTTTCTAGGGACCATCAAGCTTCTAGATGGAGCTCTTTTTTGGTAGAGAGGGGTGTGGGTTTTGAAGGGTATGTTTTCCTTGGCTTCTCCAAACCAACCCCCGTATATTATCCCGACCCAGGCTACCCCTGAATTAGCTTCAATTATCTATGATTATCTATGATTATATATCCCTATGTAAACTGTTCAACTATCCATAGCTATCCCCATGTAAACGTTACAGTTGTGGCCCCACAGGCCACAGGCAGTATAGATGCCCTAATGTAGACCCATGATTAATATTCCCCCTCCCGTTAACAGGGATTAGAATCGGGATCCTGATATTAAGGCCCACAAACACCGGGGGTTAACTAAACCCTAAACCCTAAACCCTAAACCCTTTAACTCTAAACTTAAGGCTTTGTCGTGGTCGCCCTGGAGCCCTACTATTTGGGTCCTTTGACCTTCAGGGTAAGTTAGGGGCCTTGAGCCCTGAAGTTTTCATCCATCCAGGAGGGTTTAGGTTTTAGGGTCTAGGGGGTTTGCAGTATATGCCTGAGAGTATAGGGTTTGGGGATTGGAGAGTAGACATTAGGATTTCAGGCTTAAAGAGTAAAACGTAGGGTGTGGGGTTAAGGGCGTATGTGGTGCCTGGTGTACAAGCCTTTGTTTTTTGGGTGTTATTTTGTTTACGTAGGGGTATGCTGAGTGTATTCAGGGATATATAGGGCTGTGGACGTATGAGGATGCAGAAGTGGGGTTCAGCGTTTCCAGTAGTGGAGAATTTCCTGGAGTCCCTCGAAGGAAGCTGATAGTATACTGCGGTCCACTTTTGGCAGTTTCTGGAAATTGGGGACTTATTTATGGTAGCTCCCATATTGACCCCTGCCCGCACCATCACCCCCCCTGCTCGTTTTATGGAAACTGCCAAGTTCGCTGCAATAGAAGGAGAACATCGTGCAGACCTTGTGATTGTTTCATAGAGGACATGCACATCACTCCTTGGAGGCTTAGTGTATGAGTCTATGAACCTGATGACGAAAATGATGGTCTATGAGAATCAGCAAGAATCCCTCCCTGCTAGGGTTATACCAAAATCTCGAAGCCCTAAACCCCTAAACCCTAAAGAAGAATTTCTCCATGCTTGAGGTTTGGGGACCTTTTGACATCGTGCATGGCCATGACTGGATGACAGGCGTGGTGATTTTTGCGACCTCATCCGTCATGGAGGGTTTAGGGTTTACGGCTTAGGGTTTAGGGTATTGCCCCATGGTTGCGTAGCTGTATTCATACATCCCATTTGGGACCTAAAGCTTTACTTATTCCCGACCTAAGTTACTCGTAACAAGTTCGAACTGATGGGCCTGTCCCTGTAGGGGTTGTGGGTTTAGCTTAAGGGTCAGGGAGCTTGGACAAGCTGCTTCTTTCCTCGCACCACATTTTTATTCTGAAACTTGAGATGGCGAAATAGTAGGGTCCGCGATTACCCGTGTCTTTCCCTAAAGGTCTAAGGAGCCAAATAATAGGGCTTTAGGGCCCAAGTTCCATTAATATTATAGTACTTGGGCCCTAAGACCCTATTGTTTGGCCTTGGACCCTCAGGGTTTGCCATTATGGGAAGGTGCTTTCGGCGAGCCCAGGGTTTGGGGTTTAGGGTTAGGAGAAGGTGGTCTTTGGTTCTTAGTAGGGAATAAGGGAATAAAGTATAAAGGGAGTAGATAGGGACTGTATAAGTATAATTCCCTACGAAGAAATAGTTAAGAGACCAGGCTTAGTTAAATTCCATGGTTGCGCTCAATGACCCCTAAACCCTAAACCCAAGTTGCAGTAGGTCAAGCAGGTCTTTGCTGACCTGTCGACAGTCTTCAGGGTGTCGGGTTTAGAGTTTTGGGGTACGAGGCCAACCGCCCTCCCCATCTACGATTTCCTCACGAGTTTCCTCCACTGCGCGTAGACCGCTCGGAGCCCGTGGAGATCACTCCTCGAAGAACTCGCTCGCTGATGGAGTGCCTCATCAACGACCTGGCCGTTGCTAAGTCTCATCATGGAATGGTTTGTTGGTTTAGTTTTTGGATTTAAGGACCGGTAAGGTGTGTTGCAAAGGGCAAGTTTAGGAACTAAAGCAGGTTCAGGTTCGACACCAAGATTTGCAGGGATCATCATCCTCGTCACCTAATAATAGCCCACCCATATTAAATACCACAATGGGATTAGGTATCATTAGGGGTGGGGGGGTTTAACCCTAAAGCCTAAACGGCGGATGGGCCTTGGTGACATGGAACATCTAACCTCAAATCTTAGGCTCGGGCCGCCGCCTCATCACGCGATTTAGGGAGTTGAGGGTCTAGGGGTACCCTACACCCTAGACCCTAAGCCCTAATGTAGAGAAGTGATTAATAAACCCCCTCCTTTAAAGGGCCTTAAGATTCGGATCCCTATTGTAATCCCTATAAGGGTTTTGGGGGTTGTCCACATTACACCGTAAGCCCTACAACCCACAGACTACAGCCTACAGTCTGCACCCTAAACCGTCACCCGCCGTCTTCAACCTTGAGACTGTAGAGTGAGGAGTTATGGGGTTCATGGTGTGGTGTACAAGGGCTTCGGTGTATAGAGTTTACGGTTTATGGGTTTAGGGATACAGGGGCTTCATGGTTTTCAGCATTGAGGGTTTGAAGTGTATCATAGTTGTCCTTGGCAATGTGACCCGAAATCGCCTTTTGGCTGTGACATGTTAAATGTTTGCCCAGTTCCCTAAAGCCTAAACCCTAAACCCTACACCCTCGGACTGTTGGATTTAGGGTTTAGGGTCGCCGACAGCCCACAGCAGCTCTAATGATTTCTGCAAGCCTTCTTCCGCAGCTTGATGGATTCCTTTTTAGGGTATAGGGTTTAGGTTTTAGGGTGTCTAGCTCCATACTACTCCGTTTCCAGGTCCCCTTAACTTAGGGATGTTTAGGGTTTTTTGTGGCTTATTAGGGAGAACTTTGGGGCGGTAGGGTTGTATGGGTGCTGGGGTAGCAGGGGACCTGGAGGACCAATGGAACCCGAAGACCTTCCTCCAGTAGTCCTTGAATCTACGCGCCCCAGCCTAGAGTGACTCAAGCACCAAAAAATGCAGGCGTTGTAAAATATGTTGCTACCTTGATTTTTCTATAAGGAGTCTACATGGAACGGGGGGGGGTTCCAGCAGCTGGGAAGCGCAAAGAGAAATTTCAACATAAGGTATAGATACCCCCCAAAGGGCTCCTAATTTTTGGAAACCCTCATGTCACCCTAAAAAACCCTTATGTCATTAAGCGAATTCCAAGCCCCACCCCAAGCTACTTTCCCTGTTCATGTCGCAGCACTTCGCAGGGAAGCACCTAACGTAGTGTAGGGTTCAGGGGGTGTAGGGTTTAGAATCATGAGTTTCAATTGGAGGAAGAATGGAGTAGGCAACCCCATGCCCTATCTGAATTCTTGAAGGTCCTGCAGCAAAGCTTTCCCACGCCTACTACTTTATCCTCAAGTCTTCTAATGCTCCCAAGATTTCCACGCAAGCCCCTTCCTCAACATCGTGAAGGGTTCACAGCATGGGGTACATCACACTCCTACTCCTAAACCCTAAGCTTATACCCTGACACTTTTGGCATGTCGGACGCTACTTCAGCGGGTTCTTTTCAGGCATTTCAAGCAGCGCTCCACAGACAAAGCGACATCCCAGATAAAAGGAGCACCTAAGGCTCAGAGTTCCAGGAAAACAAAACAAAAACCTGGGTTGCTGTTAAGGAACTTAAATTAAGTTGCCATAATGGGTATGTCCGGTTTAGGGTTTATAGGGTTTAGGGTTACCATAATGGGTATACATAGTAAATAATAGGGTTTCCCAATATGGTAACTTAATTTAAGTTCCTTAACAGCAACCCAGAAACATTCAGTGTCCCAGCGTGCTTCATCCCGCTTGCAGTACTAGTGCCACTATTCAACTACTACGACGGATGGAGGAAATCGTGCACCACCTTCTGCCCCTAGAGTCGGAGGAAGGAGGGTAGTTTATGGGCTTTAGGTGGTGCCAGATTCCCTCTATAAACTGTATTTGTACCACCGCCATGTATGTGAACTAGAAGCATTGCCCAAACATGAATCGATTGGAACAGAAAGCAGATCGTGGAATGGTGACCGGGGTGATATGGTGGTTTACAGGGAGTGGGGCTTCCCAAGACATAGTGAGGATTCATTTTTTTAGGGTCTATATTTGGGGTCCCGCCCATAGATGGAAACTATGTACCAACAGCCGAAGTGCTGGCGGCACAGGCTTGCCAAGCCGCGACCCCACAACTCTAACCCCTAAACCCCCAAATCCCAAACCCCTAAACCCGTAAGCTACTAAACCCTAAAACCCTAAACCCCTAAACCCTAAAATCCTAAACCTAAAAACCCTAAACCCGTAAACTCCTAAACCCTAAAAGCCTAAACCCCAAAACCCTAAACTAAGGGTTCCCGAACGACCACCCCCTTCCAGAAGCTTTTAAAGACCTTTGGCAGGCCCCGGCATCATGGAGCTGAAGGGACAGGCAGGGTACATTATATTGGGATAATGAGAAAGAAAATGGAAGTTTAGGGTTTAGGGGATTGAGGGTTGGGGTTCTGCGTGTAAGGGTTCAGGGTTTTGGGGTTTTAGGGGGGTTAAGTCCTGTAGTGGAGTGATTTGGGTTCATAAATTTCGGGTTTAGGGGTCCGGGATCCAAATATTTGTTTCAGGGATAGGGGTAAGGGATCATAATATAAAGGGTCCAAGGTATCTGCACTATAGTATGGGATTTAGGGTTCAGGGATTAGGGGTAAGGGTGTATAACTGTCAGGGATCAGTGATCGGGATTTCGGGTTTGGGGTTCGATCAGGCTTGGCCCACAGGCCCGAGCACCGGAGAGGTAGAATTACAGCGGTTTTAGGTCTTAGCGTTTAGGCTTAGGGTTTAGGCCCAAGGTATCTACAGTTTTTGGGACCATGGAATATATGGAGACTCAGGGAGGCTCAGTAAGTAGGCTAATAAGGGGGATAATTAGGGTTACTATATGGGTTATAGGGGTTATCAGGGCCCGAAGTATGTCATAAGATGGGACTGGGAGTGGAGAGGGGCTCAGGGGAGGCATTTCCCAGACTTGAGGGAGGATCCAAAGATTAGATCCCCTTCATAGACCCAGTATAATCCGTACATGATCCTTCTATGTTTGTCCATGTGGTTCCAGTGGATCTAGTCTTTTAGATCCCTTTCGGGGTCCAGGTAAGGGTTTGAACATGCTGGAGGGATCACCGATCACACGTGCTTATGGTCATCGCTCACATGGGTTGTTCTCAAAATTGTGGGCCCTTTCGGTCATGATTATTTCACGACATAATATTCAGGGGTACCAAAATGGGACCCTAATTTTGGGAACTGCCCATGTTTGCCGTAACTCTAGTTTGCATGCTTGTCGCGGTTTGTGCTTTCGCTAAACCACGGGCGCTGAAATAATGCAACTCAAGGCGGAATCATAAATGATCCATAGTGACCCCTCCTGTCGATACTGGAATCCTGCAAGACTATAGTGTCCTAAGGCTTTCTTCAACTCTGCATACTGCTAGTAATGAACTAATCAAGCTGGAGCTTTCAGGGGACATGCCTGTAAACTGTAGCCAGGCGTTGTTTTTGTTCAGGTCCGCAGTCTCAAGCATTAGTTATCTGAGTGAGCAGGCCAGGTCATAGACCCTAAATCGTGGTTTACATACATAACCTAAACCCTAAACCCCTAAACCCTAAATCCTAAAACATCGCCGATTTCACGATTTGAAGCTATGGTAACTCAGCCAGGTGAAGCAAGCTGCCCAAGCTTCAAAGTTTGACCCGGCTGTTCGTAAACGGTACACTCCCGGAAACTAACATGGAAACCCAAAAAGGCCCCTATAAAGACTGCAGTCCTTCTAAAAGAGACTGTATGGGTTTCCATGTTAGTTTGGGGGAGTGTAACCGTCGGGGTGTACAGTAAGGACGGTTCCCAGTCTAGGGATTAAGATTTAGACTTCTACCTGAACCCGAGGTTTAGGGTTTAGGGCCTCAGAGTACTCTATTTGTGTCTTCGCATGAATTGTTGGCCACTACATTGCCTATTTTGGGGGTCCAGGTTGTCACAACCCCTAAGCCCTAAACCCTGTCCCTAAGGGCCCAAGGACCCAAATAATAGGGTTTCAGGGCCCAAATGCTGAGATATTCATGGTATTTGAGCCCTAAAACCACATTATTTGGTCCTTGGACCCTAAACCCTAAACCCTAAGTCTGCAAAGCCAGGGCAAGCGCGTCGTCTTCACCATGCACTCCACCGAGGGTGGCCGGAACGGCGATATGGGCAAGGGCCATCCAGGTCTGGGTTCGGAGTCATGGTTAGTCCCCTTTTAGTAGATTAGAATTTAGGGTTTAGGGTTTATAGTCCCCCTTAAGTAGATTAGAATATAGGGTTTAGGGTTCAGAGTCCCCCTTAAGTAGATTGCAATATGGGGTATATGGGGATCTTATTATAATATACGCAAAGCCGCATTCTATCTACTTATGGGGGACTATAGGGTTTGGGGTTTCGTTAGAGTTGTTGACCTGTAGCACCAGTTAACTCTGGCTTTATGGATTGTACATACTAAATAGGGGTATTTGCTATTGACCTGTAGATAATTGGGGATACAGGTAGGGTTTACTTTTGGGGGTTTGGGGGTTTGGGGGTTTGGGATTTCGGATGCAGTCTTGAAGGTTTACCATTTTCCCATGTTGCTTTGACGACCAACAAGCACAGGCAAGCTACTGCAAATTGAGATGACCTCATGTTCATGAAATGAGCGTGCATTGCCATGTCCCTTCTGTGCTTAGGAGGTTCATATTTGGGATTTCCCCTAAACCCTAACTCCCTTAAACCTTAAACCCTCAAACCCTTAAACCCTTAAACCCTAAACCCCTAAGCCCTATGGGCTTAGGAGGTTCATACTTAGGGTTTCAGGGCGTAGGGCAGCCCGCCCCAAGTTTCTACCGCTTCCCTGGCCTAGTCATACAGGCTTTTATCAACAAGGCATTGCTACCTGGACCCCAAAAGTATGTAAACTAATGGCCTTTATGGCTGTTATTAGGGGTTTAGGGCTATCATTTTACCTACTTTTGGGGTTTAGGTATACATGATTTGCAGAGATTGTTGCAGAATCATTTGTGTGATATTTTTCTTAATCTGGTCTTACCCCAAAACCCGAAACCCTTTACGACTCCTTAGCATAAGAGCAATGTCCAACAGATTGCCTTGACTCATCTAAGCAACCCAGAAACCTCAACCCTGAACCCTAAAGTCTGAGCCTTAAGCCCTAAACCCTGAACCCCTAGATCCCTGAATCCTAAATCCTAAACCCCTGAACCCTCACCCCTAAGCCCTAAACCCTAAATCCTAAACCCTTGCCAAGCTACACCCTTGACAGGCATCAAGGACCTGGAACGGTGCTCCTGCGGCGCAGCAGACAAGCTGATCTGTGTCTCCGGGGTGCTGAAAGACGAGGCCCAAAGCAGAGTAGTGTCCTGCATGGGGAGAGGTTCCAAAACAGAATGAGCGCATATTATGTCATCTTGGCTTAGGAAGAACTGAATACATGTACTCGTGCCTGGCCCCACGACCAGAAGAAACTACTCGCAAGGTCGATAGGGTGGATGCAGAAACAGGAGGCCGCGCATACTGCATTTTACATACATGTATATTACTATACATAGAAAGATACAGTACACATGGTTGAGGGCTGAAGTCCATGTTGGGGATTCCGCCTTGATGTTCCTTAAGAGATACCCATGCTTATTTGCGACTTGGGAAGGCCTAAGCCCTAAACCCCTAAACCCCTGAAAGTGGTTTTATACAATCCCCACAAGGCCACCTTACCAATCCCCCAACTCCGCAGGAAGTGTGGGTGGAGGGATGGGCCTTGGAACCAGTGAAGATGTTGATAACGTGTAGCATGAAGATATAATCACCCTTGAGTAGATAGAATATGGCTTTGGGTATACTATGATAAGATCCCCATATACCCCATACTCCAGTCTAAGGGGGACTATAGATCCATAAATAGGGGTTCTTGTTGTGGAGCCAGATTGTGATGACCCTCATGTCGGAAATTGCCAAAGAGGGACCCGTAATTGTTTGAGCAGCTCAACCCTGATATTCACCCATATAACCCCCTGTTCCCGTGCTATTCTCCAAGTTCTCCATTTTCTCCAGTCTGGAAGTATCGGGAACTATTCCCCCATGTTTCATAACCTAAAAGCTATGAATACTACACCCGGGGTTCGTTTAGCATTGCCTTAAGGGTCTAAGGACCCAAAGAATAGGGCTTTAGCTCCAAAATACCATTAGTGTTATAGTCTTTGGCCTTAAAACCCTTATTATTGGGTCTTTGGACCCTTACGGTTGTGGAGTGAACGATGCAAGGTCTGCGGAGTTTGCGGCGCTGATGGGCGAGGGGCTCAGATGCTTTGGGCGGATTTTCCAACGTATGTCCTCTCCTTGGGACTTAGCTTGGACCTTAGACCCTCGAGGCATGGTCCAGAGACACCATAGTCCTTCCAGGGATTGCACAGGCCCTCTTTCCCCAAAGCTCATGTGCCAAGGCCTCTAGACATTCAATCTTATAAAGCATCCCAATATAGCTCCACCATGAACGCTAAACCCTAAATCCTAAACAATATAGCCCGACCATGAAGGTACCTAGGTTGCTCCCAAACTATTTCTTCAGCGCCAGACAGCGGAGAGGCGCTCCCTCCTCCCTGAGAATAAATGCCCCAAATGTGGTACATAGAAATGTATATGTAGAGGAATTATGTTCATAGGCGGGGGAGATTATATTTAATCCTCGTATCCAAAGCCTAGAGCCTAAACCCTCGGCCTATCACGGACCCTAAAACCCTAAACCCGAAGCCCTCAACCCTAAACCCTAAGCTTGACAGCAAAGTTAGCCTAGGAATCGGATGTCCGTCATCTACAACGGCATCCATGCGCAACCCATCGTCAACATGGAGTGGCAGGAGAGGGGTTTAGGGTTTCAGGTTTAGGGTTTAGGGTTTGGGGTTTAGGGTCTTTCCCGTACCAAAGCCCCAAACCCTAAACTCTTCGTAGGGCCCTGGGGTCCCATGTTTTCAGGGAGAGGGACCCTAAAGCCGAAACCCAAAACCGTAAACTGTAAACCCTAAACTCTAACCGTAAACTCTAGACCGCAGGTTTGGTGGGCTACGGCATGTCAGCAATGATTTAGTGGAATTTGCTCCCTCTAACCCTTAACCCTAAAACCCTAAACCGTGGGCAGGGGAGTGTGGGTTCAATGAAACCCTGAAGCTTAGTTAAAGGATCATGGCTAGAAATGCTTGGGCCAAAAATAGTTGGGAAAACTATGCGTACAATCCGTTCTTCCCAGTACCAGTTCAAACCTCCCCACCCCCTGATAGTCACTCATAATCAATATTCCCCAGATTTTAGGATGATAGTATTTTGGGGGAAGTTTCTATTGGGGGTTGGACGGCTGTTCCAGCGAAAGGGGGATTGACCAATGTAGATGTTGTCTAGGGGATCTATAACCCCAAACCAAAAAACAGACCTAAACCCTAAGCCCTAAACCCCAAAACCTTAACCAAAAATCCTAGGCCCTAAACCCTAAACTTGCCAGATTCACTTGTTGCTGTTACTTTACGGATTAGAGTTTAGGAATCAGTGCTTTGGGTTTAAGGTTTAGGAAGGGTTCAGGGTTCAAGGATGTGAGCCCTTCCGAGGCTTTGAGGCAGGAATGTGACATGAATAAGGTTTACCTGGACCCCAAAGGTATGTAAAACAATGGCCTTTATGGCTGTTATTAGGGGTTTAGGGCTATCATTTTACATACTTTTGGGGTTTAGATAGGCCTTTACGAAGTAGTTGTTTCTGCTACGTTTGTTTTTGTGAGTGTATGTGGTATTCCTTATACTGATGAGTGCATACATGGAGTGGGTTATCCCAAGCGCTCCATATTATCGTAGCCCTCGAAACCGCAAAGGAGTTGTCATTCATTGGCTTGAAAACCTCCGGGCAAGATCTAGGCTTACCAAGGGTTTCGGTTAAAGGCTTAGGCCCAACCCCTAAAGACCTACAACATGCAACTCACTTTAGGTTTATGCGGGGATCCGCCCCAATATAGAGTAAGCATTTTCATATCCTCCGCATAGTATTTGGAATGAAGAATATTATCTTACATACTTGGTTCAGACACCCAAAAATTCATTGCTAAACTTGAAACTTAATATCTTCCTATAATTTCTCAGGGCACCTACGGGTGCCCCAATGTTACTTGGTTCAACCGCCAAATAAAGCGCTACTCAACTACAATTGGATCATTCAGTACAGAAACTGCTATCACAATGGTAACAATAGCTCCCTAAACCCTAAACCCTAGGAGTTCTAATAACACCCTAAACCCTAAATCCTGAGCCCAAAACCCTAAACCTAAATCCTAAACCCCTTTAAAAATCACAGTTTACGGTGTGGGGGAAACAAGCAACCTACACCCCATAACTGTGAGGATGAGTGGATTGGCAACACCAAGGCGGATAAAGGCTTCGGGAGGATGGACCCCATGTGACTCGGCTGGGCTTAAGTACCTAAAGAATCCAAGGGTTTAGGGTTTTAGGGCGTTTTAGGGTCTGGGGATTGGGGTTTAGGGCTCAGGATTTAGTATAATACGGTAGGGTTTGGGGTATTCGCTGCTTAGTGATTACTTCAGACTGATTCACAGCAAACATCACATCCTTAGCTGGACTTCTGTAGATTACCCCAAGTGTAAGTAGGGTTGCATGCCCAGCTACACGTAGTGTTTAAATCCCAGGAAACTTCAAATGCCCGCCACCCAAACTAACCCTGGGGCGCAAAGTCTACAAACAACACTTACTTGCTGCTTAAGAATCTACACATCAGGCCTACTTTGTGCTATTTGGAGCCCTTGGGTAAGAGTGGAAGTTCATTCAACATGTTCGGGCATCTGAAATTATATATATGAGCCCTGGACTAAAGTTATAGGATAGTCCTTCAACATCCCCCTAAATTCCCCTATACATCACCCTATAGGTCCCCCCAACCTAACTTGGGTAGACATATCATGTCAGGCATCTGAAATTACATAGTCCCCCTTAAGTAGAGTATGGGGTATATGGGGACCTTACTATAATACACCCAAAAAAACCCAAAGCCATATTCTATTTACTTAAGGGGGACTATACGTCTAGCAGGGCATCAGGGAACTTAGTAAGGGATTACAATAGTATCCCCCCTCCCAGATTTAGAACCCTATTAGGCCTTTTTTAGGCCCTATATAATCCTTATTAGCTCCTTAAACCCTGGGGGGGGTACCTTTGGGGGGGCCCTAAACCCTAAACCCTAAACCCTAATCCCTTACTTAGAGAAGCAACTCAATGGACCTCCATGTTGATTTGGCCGTGAAGGTTTACCTGGGTTTAGGGTTTAGGGTTGGGGGTTTAGGGTTTAGGCTTTAGGGAGTTTGGGGGCGTACGGTTTAGGGATTGGGGTTTACGGCCATATGAGCTATAGTCTAAATTCCTTAAAGGGGGGAATATAGGAGACTATATAGAGGAGTATTATGGGGATTATTAAGGGAAATACTAGGAGTTTAGAGTATAGCTCATATGGAATCTATCTATTTTGGTGATTGTGTTTTGTTTTTCACTGAGTTACAGCCTCAAAATGAGTAGGCTATTGTGGGGGACAAAAATGCTCCCTAATCAAGGAAGAATATAGTATCCTCTTCGGTTGTGGTATTCTATGACAAGAGTAGCATAATCTTGCTTGTTATCATAAAATTCTACTCAAAATGTGGTAGCCGTAGCGATGTGGGGGATCAGGCTAAGGTTCAGCATTGTGGGGTTTCGGTTTTAGGGTTGTTCCCACGTTGGGAGGGAAACTTAACTGGAGGATTTTATGGTTTAGGCCCTAAACCGTGAACGCCTCTAACTACTAACCCTAAACCCTAAACCCTGGTCCTTATCATAGAGCGTTGGAAGTACTAAAAGCCTCCTTGCTTCAGATTTTAAAGGCTCAAGGTCTAGTTTCCGACCCCGGGTTTAGGGTTTAGGGTACCCCTAAACTTTATAGTCCCCCTTAAGTAGGCAGAATATGGCTTTGGGTGTATTATAATAAGATCCCCACGTACTCCATATTTTATCTACTTGAGGGGGACTATAAACCCTGAACTCTACACCTTTGAAAGGGTCGTCTCTCGGGACGAAGGCTACACATAGATCTCAACATCGAATTTGGAATTCCTCAGACTTCCACACAAACTTAAAGGAGTCTGTAGCGTTATACAGCCCTACGGGCCTACGAAAGATCTAAGGGTTTAGGGTTGAGGGTTGAGGGTTTAGGCTTTAGGGTTCCCCTAAACCCTAAACCCATGATCCCCACATCCCATAATCTTCAAAACCAGGAAGTTCACGCCATATGAGCTACCTACAATATTGGGCTTACTAACAGACCTTTGACAGTGGACACCGGGGTCCCTCTTTTAGTTTAGCATAGTCCCTAACATAGTCCATAAAATAAGGAACCCATGTCCATTGATTATCTGGATCTGTAGCTCATATGAGGTAGGATTTGACTATCGGTTTTGGTGAGTGTGTTTAGGGTTTGTTGGGGATTTTGGTGAGCGAATTCCCTAACCCCCTACATATTTGGTCCCTCCTTGAGCCCCAGAGACACTGTGTCAGGGTCGGTCTCCCCTAAACCCTAAACCCTAACTAAACCAGCAGGTATGTCCAGCACAGTAGCATCTACAAGAAAAGTCATCCAGGCAGAAGTTGAGGAGCATAAGCTAAATAATCATAGCATGCAGTTGTAGTAAATGCCAGGACCTTCCTTGTACCCTTAATTGGGGATATATGGTCCCTAATAGTGGATACTTAGGCCCGAATAGAGGGTAGGAGGAGGGTCTGGGTGAAGGTATCTTGTTGTAAGCGGTTTCCTTGTAATGCTAGCTGAAGTACGTTAAGTTCCTTAACAGCCAGCAGGTCGGGCACGGCAGTCAGAAACACGCCCTCAACCCCAATCCCTAAACCGTAAGCCCCAAACTCCCTAAACCCTAAACCCCCAACCCTAAACCCCAAAACCCCGAACCCTAAACCGCGAACCCCGAACCCCGAACCCTAATCACTAATCCCTGAACCGTAATCGGCAGCAACAGGTTCCTCTTCGTGGGCCGGCACACTGCGCAGAAGGGATGTGTGTCTTGGCTTTGAGGATTTAGGTTTTGGGGATTCAGGGTTTAGGGATTCAGGGTTTAGGGATTTAGGAACTAGGGTTTAGGGATTTTGGATTTAGGGTTTGGGGTATAGGGCTTTGGTGACTTTGAGTTGTGTTTTTTTTGAGGGTGTCCTCATTCCCTATAAGGGTCCACGTACCACTAGTATACAAGCTTGGCCCAAGGCTCTGCGTAGTAACTGTTTGGGGCCCTCTTGCATCCTGTTTCAGGGTACGTGGACCTTAAGGTTTAGGGTTTAGGTTTAGGGTTTAGGGTTTAGGGCAGGGTTTATGCAATGCCCTTATCATGGATCACTATTGGATTTTAAGTTGTTATTCAGAAAAACTGACAGGGAATACATAGTTACAAAATTGAAGAGCACTCTCCCCAACATGAACCATCATATTACATTAGAGCTGGTTCTATGGGGTGTTGTAGTAGGACTTATGGATTTATGCTTTACGTTAGTATTATAATTGGTTCCCTAATCCCGCTGACCGTTTCCTTCAATTGAGCTTAAGTTTGAGGCTCAGAAAGAGGGCAGCTTTGGCGGGATAGTATGGGGAGGGTGACTCATGACATTCTGTAGGACCAGGCCTAAACTCTTCTAAGCCCGAAACCCTAAACCCTGAACCCAAAAGCCTAAACCCTAAAGCCTTAATCCTAAACTCTGCTCGTTCATGCACATCACAAGGACCTGCTCATCGAGGCGATTCCCCACGTGCTGGGCTGCCGAGGCGGGTAAGTTTAGGATTATCGGATTGGTGTAGGGCTAATGGTTTAATGTAGCCCTGTGATTAATGAACCCTTTACTTCTCAGGGCCTTGATACTAGGATCCCTATTATAATCCCTATTGGTTAAGGGGAGGGGGGTTTACGGGTCTACAGTAGGGCATCTGGGAGTTGAATCTGAAAGCAGGGATGCTGATCTTCGTTCTTTCAATTTCTGGATCCTGGGAATAGCAAGGGATTTGTAGCGAAGCCTAGGATCAGGAATTTGCGGATCAGATTTTGGAGTGCTTGTGCCGAACTCTTACATGGGAATTTCCGCGAAATAGGGTCCTCCTCATGAACCCCCCAAAAGATTGTAATCCTCATGGGTTGTTCTCAAAATTATGGGCCCCTGTTGGTTATAGACTATATTGCAGCACCTAATATTTAGGGGTACCAGCATGGCACCCGAATTTTGGGAACCCAGAGGGTCCAAGTGGTGATATGGTCTATACTTGTGCCCAAAGGGGCTTCCCATATAGCTACTTCGGGGCCCAAGTAT